CACATACTAAAACTCATGTACCAGACTACAAGCAGTAAGCTATTCCTGCTACTGATTAACCCTGTGGTGGTGTCACCAAAATTGGGAATAAACTTCTTAACACCAACATAGACTTAAGAAGCAGCATTCATTATTACGGCACCGGATGCACGGGGGATCGTTCCACCTATCGTGCATACCGACTCAGCTCTCTACAAAAGCTTTACACTATCAAAACATGCATATTCATTATTTCTCCAAGAAAGCATAAGCATATTCATTACATTTCTAGGAATTCATTAGTATGTGTAAATGTCCCTTTTCCTGTGTGTACTGGTCACCTTCAGGGGTCCTCTGGTGATTGTGGAAACTTTTGTCACTCTGCCCTTTAGCTGAATTTTTCTTCTCCTCATGTTCAGTTCATCTCTTGGCCTGTTTACAACACTTCTGTCTCCACAAAAATGGTTTATTCTAGCATGGCTACCTCATCTAAGATTTGATGCCTCAAGTCTCCTGTTGTCTATTTTAGACTACAAACTTGACTAGGCCTAGCAGATATGTAACTACCTTTCATATCACATTGTTTAAGCAGAAGGGTATGTTCTTTTGGTATCAACCCCCCCTTTTCTTTTGAGGGTGTTTTATTAAGCTTCAACCCTCATATTAATTTATATTTCCAGCAAAGATTAGAGCAACAATGACAATATCGGATACATACTGCTATGATAAAAATAAATAATAGAAACAATCTTTTAGCCAAGTCCAATTTGGTATCCAAGAAGTTAGTTTATGCCAAATTTCCTCAAAAACCCCAAGAAGTGTCACCTTTAGCAACTTCATATAATATTTCTTTTTGTTTCCTGATCTCTCACAAATCCATGGAGATTCTACTACTTTGATCTACATACACACAACAGCTTGTGTTTATGATTGGGCAAACACTGCTTTGTGAAACCAATGATAAATTGAGGGCCATCTTGTTTTGGATCACTACCTTTGACAGGCTAGATACTTCAATTTGCAGAGACTGTATGGCATCAGTGGTTCTATTCTCAAGGTTCTCTATTACTATTGAAATGTCCACTATAGTTTGTTTTTATTTTTCTAATTCACTTACCCTAAGCCATGGGAAGAACCATCTTGCAAAACTATGAAACTCAGAGGGCCTGTCAGCTATAGCATTATGAACCCTCTTTGTTTAAGGAAAGTTCTTAGCCCTCCACCTTGCAAATGGCTTGTCAGTAATTGTGGTGTTGGGAACTAGAACTCCAAGGGATATGTAGGTCCCATTTTATTCCCGGAACTGTGCTGATTTGTTGTAAAATTTCTGCTATTAAACGAGGATCTCTAGCTGATGACATTCCCGTTGGTACCCCAAACCTGGGTATCTTCTCCTTTAGTAAACAACAATTGCTTTTAGTTTTGTTGGTGCAGCAGGGAAAAGCTTCTGGCCATCCTGAGAAAGTATCAACCAGAACCAAAAGGTATTGATAGCCATTTTGTCTCAGTAATTCAGAAAAATCTATTTGCACATTACCACCAGGAGTGCTTCCCCTCCTGGTTTTACTTGGTGGGGGTCTTTATCTATTTACTGGATTGTTTTTCATACACTACTCATTTTTCTGTTACCATCTTGACAATTTTAGTCATTCTGACACTAAGTACCGGTGTCCTCAGACTGTTAATCAGAGCTTCTATTCCCCAATGTGTTTCTCTGTGTTTTTCTTCAACTATTTTAATCAGCAGTTGTGGCAGGATGATAATTTGACCTTCAGGAGTTATCAGCCACCTACTCTTGTTTTCAGTTGCCTTTAATACTAGGGACAATTTTTTATCTGTTTCACTATAATTTGGTGCTTCAGATGTCAGTTTTAGCTCCTTTACAGGTATTACAGCCAGGATGCCCTTCTCTGCCACCTCTTTCGCCTGCCAATCCGTTACCTACACATGCTGCAGTATTTCCAAACTGGTGAGCCTTGCAATGCATTATCACAACCTTCTCAGGTTTTTGCACTGCTCGTCCAAATTGCTCCATGAGCATGCACCACCCCAAAGGCAAATTTAGAATCAGTCCATATATTTACCTTCTTTCCTTGAGATATTTCAAGAGCTCCCCGAAGGGTGATTAATTCTGCTTTTTGTGCTGATATACTCACAGGCAATGCTTCATCTTCAATCACCTCATCAGTGGTGGCAACAGCATATCCAGCCATCCTCTTCCCTTCACAAACAAAACTATTTCCATCTCTGTACTATTCCAAATTTGGGTCACCAAGTGGTTCATCCTTGAGATCTGTGTGACTGCCATACACGTGTTCTACGGTTTGCAAACAGTCAGGCTTTAAGGATTCCTGGTCCTCAGTTTTGGACTGGAGGAAAATAACAAGGTTTATTTCAGTGGTTTTTTTAAGTCTCACATTGTCCTTTTCCAGAAAGACAACCTGGTACTTGAGCATTCTGCTAGAGAATAGCCAATATCCCCTCCTTTTGCTCCAATACCGATACAACCATATGAGGAACATCAACAGTCATTTGTTGTCCCATTGTGATTTTTTGTGCCTCTTGTATCAAGAGAACTGTTGTGGTCAGAGCTTGTAGGCATCCTGGTCATCCTTTATTCACATTGTCCAATTGTTTGGAAAATTATCCCACAGATCTTTTCCATTCCCCAAGTCTTTGGGTCAGCACCCCCAGTGCCAGATGTTGTCTTTTGTGCACAAATAGTTCCAGTGGTTTTGACAGGTCTGGCAGGTCCAGTGCCGGTGCTGACATTAATGCCTTCTGGGTGTTTTAAAAGGCTGTTCAACATTGTGGGGTCCACTGGAGCAGGCCCCCTCTGATTCTGTCAAGGTGTCATAGAGAGGTCTTACCATAAGTCCATGGTTGGGAATCCACAGTTGACACCAACCAGCCATTCTGAGGAAAGTTCTCAGTTCTCTGGCATTGCTGGGTTCTGGCGTCTCGCAGATTGCCTCCTTCCGTTCAGTTCCCAATCTGCAACATTCCTGTAAGATCTCAAAGTCCAAATATATTACCATTTCTTTTCCAGTTTGGGCTTTCCTTTTGGACATTCTTTTGCTTGTTAGTCTGCTTTGGTTTTATTTTTCACTCACAGTCAGGAATTAATTGCTCAAGGCTAAAGCCGCTTGTAGCTTCGGCTCTTAAAGGGCCAACAGAGGAACACAAGCAGGTACCAAAGCTTTATACCAGGGGTCCTCCAACTACGGCCCGCAGGCCGAATACGGCCCCCCAGGGTCCTCAATCGGGCCCACCAGAATTTACAGACTGGAACCAGCGCCTCGTCCTCGACCTGTCCCACTGCGGCGGGCGAGAGGCGCAGGCATCGCCTCTGCCGGGCAAGCTCAGTCGGCAGCCTCCCCTCAGAGACATATCACATTTCAGGATCCAGGCACTCAAAACTGCAACCGTCTTTGGCAGCACCTATGTCTGTGAGCAGACGTTTCCCCGAATGAAACATCTGAAATCTCCAGTCAGACCCAGACTGACTGATGGACACTGGCATCACTTGCTACGACCAGCAGTGACAAATATGGAACCAGACACTGACCATCTCATTAGCCAAAAGCAGGCCCATAGTTCACATTGCAATATGATTTGTTTTTGTTGATTACAATTGTTCTTCATTTTAAATATTGCATTCTTTTTCCTGTTTTTTGTGCACTACTACAGATAAAATCTGTGCAGTGTGCATAGGAATTCGGTCATTTTTTTTCCAAACTATAGTCCGGCCCCCGACAGTGTCTGAGGGACAGTGAACAGGGCCCCTGTTTAAAAAGTTTGAGGACCCCTGCTTTATACTATCAATACATGCATATTCACTACTTTTCCAAGAAGTTATCAACATATTCATTAGTTTCCAGGAACTCATCAATATAAGTAAATGTCCCGTTCACATGCATACTTCCTCTCTCTGGTGGTCGCCGATAGTCTCCATCACTGTGTCCTGTGGTTGTACTTTTCCTTTGCGCGTGCTCAGTTCTTTCTTGGGCCTGTTTCCAACCCTTCTGTCTACCTTGTCCCAAGGAGTTAGCTCAGTATGTTCTCTTGTCACATCCCAGGACTCAGTAAAACAAAGAGGTTTAATGCTTCTATGAACACTAAGGTAATAAATTTCGATTTGTGAAATTCTATGACAAAGACACATTGTTCTTAACTCCAGTACTGAGTTAAT